AAGTTTTCTAGCTTTTAAAGAAAGCGCCAAATGGAAAAAAAAAATACCTGTGCTGGAAAGCCTTAGGCGAAGCCTTCCAAATTCATCATAACCTTGTCTTGGATGAAAATATGTATGGCACAAAGCTTTTGAAAATGATGCTAAGAAAGCAGCTTGTAAACAAACGTCCCCATAAAGGGTTGGGAGGGACTGTTGCTTTTTTGGCCAGTATGTTTCAATGAAGATACTTTATTTAAAAAAAAAAAAAAGCAAGCTCCTTGTACTTTTAATTAAGAAATATAAAGCAGTAATACAATCAGAACTTGGCTTAAATTGCCAAATCTGTGTTAACAGCTTGGGAAATGTCAAGCAAGCCATGATTACGAACTTGATGTTTGGTTGGATGCCTGACTTTTTTCTTTATACTGTAGTCTTTGGGAATTCTGGTACCTGGGCGACTTGTCATGACCCAGGTGCGGCCAGGAAGTTCAAAAGATGCTGTTGAAATGTAGTAAGACCTGAAGAGACCTCCAACTAAAGTGCTCCTCTAAACCTTCCAAACACATTTGCCAGTCAAATGGACTTACCATGAACAGCACCCTTGGAAAGAAAATCAGAATCCATAAAGCCATGCGACTGTTTCACTAAGCCATTCCAGTTCATTCCAGTCCAGTGAACCTTCCACCTCTCAAATGTGTAAAATGTTAGATCGTGACAGACTAATCGGCAAACCCAGGTTTTTTTTTCCCCGTTTCTGGGGTGGTCGTGGGTTTGGGCGGTTGGGCCCACCGGAATCTTACACGGTCTTTCATTGTTGCAGGCTGAACGTTCCCTTTAAGATGAGACCTGGGAAGCAGTGCGTGTGTTGGAATGAACATCATGTTTGTGAGCTGCATCAGAGCAGCAGGTAAGATGGAGGTGAGGGGCACCTTAAAATTGCTCGTTTCAGATATCTTGCAAATAAAAAAAGTTATGAAGTAGAACAGACTCTCTGCCCCATTGCTGCTGGTTTGTGGAATTGGCTGGCGTTTTTTAGTTCTACAGTTCAGTTTGAACAGGCTGATAACGTCCCATTTCATGAGACTTGCACCTGCTTTTGCAAGCAAAAGAACAAATGCATTGATTATTAAAGTCAGGAATAAATATTGTATCCAATATGGTTAAAGTGCTAATGTCTGCCCCGTTAAAAACTTCTGGGAAAGGAGTTACCTATGAAACATAGTATAAAGAATCTTCAGTAGAACTCTTCCAAAATAGAACTTGGAGGTAAACTTGTTTTTTGCCAGTGGACGTTGTGGCTCACTTAGTTTTTGTGTACCTTCTACTTGGCGTGCCATTCTTAAATCACTTTTTTTTTAATTGGAGATACAAACAGTTAAACAGCTGGAGATAATGTGCTTGTGGGCTAATATCTCCATTGACCTTAACAAGGATAAGCGGACAGCTCTTAAGCGTTCGCTGAAAGCTGTTTATCGTTGAGGCCCAGAATTTCATAAGAGACGATCCGTCACTTGAGAAGGCATTATAAGAGCAGTTGTGCTCATTTACAGCAGCTTGTTCAGAAACTAAGCAGCCAGTTATGTTTTAAGTGCAATGAAGTAAAGATCCTAAAATCTTTCTTTTTGTGCTGTGCAGTGTTTCATTTTTGGCAATGGCATTAAGCTAGTTATATTAACAATAATACGTTTTGACGCCCTTTCTGTTCTGACAGTCTCCTAATGTTTATATTCTAGGTACAGAATTCTGTGGAGGCCTCTAAAGAAAGAAGCAGACTCAAAATATGGCTACAAAGTTTAAAGAAGGCAATTTGCAGGAAAGTTGTTTCAAAAATGCCATTGTCTGTTGTGACTACAGACACTGGTTGTACGTGAGATAGAATCTTAAATGTTGGATGGAAATTATTTCTGTCTTCTTACAAATGCGATTGAAATCCAGGCAGGCACATCCAGCAAAAGCCATGGCTTGTGACTTAAAGGGGGTGTCAGGAGCAAGAATTGGGGTGCCTTCAGTTAGGCGAGGTGAAGTGTACGTCTTTCTTAAATAACTGTCAGAGATTAGACTGCACTGCAGGAGAAGGATTTTCAAGATCTGGCCAATTGTAATGCTGAGCTTTTCCCCAAGAATAACTCTTCTTAAATCCTCGCGTTCATGTGATATTTAACCAGAAGTTGAACAACAATTTGATTTCACAAGTATGTCACAACCATCTATAAAACGTTTTGGTAAAATCTCATGAATGAGACAGCATAAAGTCCATAAAGTTACCAAGTCCCTTTTCATGAAATACAATTCTGAAAAGGAGCTAGTGCCATAAATTTAAGAAACGGGTAACGTTTTGGTCAAATGAAAACTGACGCGTCATGGAAGACAACAGCTGAAGCTGGGATCCTTGTATCCACTAAACTGTCAATAAAGTGTTGGTTTCCTCCTGAGCTCTTCATTACTCCAAAATGGTCTGTGATAACAGTTCCGGCTTTCAGAGTGAAGTGTGCTGCAGGAGTGGCCAAAGGCTACTTAAATATTTATTGGGTACAATATTACTGATTAGATAACCAGCTTTTCTGGCTGGCTTTTAACGTACGGGTAGTTTGAACACATTACAAGATTTGAATGGGTTGTCCAAAAAGATAAAACTTGGTAAGCTTTTTCACAGGGATATAGAGCTACACTGTAGACACTGCTGCCTTTCGCTTTTGAACAGTCTAATAAAAGCTTACTAGATAGACAAGAATAGTCCAACCCAATGATGTGCTTGCCAGTACTTTGGGTTGGAGGTAGCTGGATGCTACAATCCAGTTAAGCAGATTGGAAAGATGGGCCAAAAAACAGGAAGATGCTGTGTATTAGGTCAAAGTAATCAAAAGGCACAAGGGATGGTGAGGGGAGAGGAAGCTGGTGGGAGATGGTTCTTCAAGGCATTAAGAGCTGCTGTATGATTATGCCCTATTATTGAGTACTGTTTTGGCTCTAACCCTTAGGCCAGTGTTGGTCCTAGGGCTCCTCTGGATCTAAGAATCCTTTCATTTTGGGGCCAGAGCCCACCCAAGTACTGTATTAGTGAGTTGTGTCTAATCACAATCCTTTGCCTTGAATAATCCAAACAAGATTCCACATGCACAGAAGAAAAATCTGCCAACAAGTTAAAACTTAAGGGACAAACCATTGTTCCATTTTAAAGGGAAGAATTTACAGCAGAAGTTAAAAGATGGCTTAGCTTTTGTGGAGTGCAAAATAATTGTCAGTAGAGGGAGACCTAAGCCGGTGGAAAGGGATGCGCAGAGCTTGGGCGCTGGTGGAATCTGTGGCTGCTCTTTGGCCCACAAATATGCGGATGAAAGGCACATGTCTTGCTCAGCCAGTCAGCCAGCATGCCCAGAAAAGGGGAAAGGTGCAGTCCTTGGCGAAATAGCTATGGGTCTGCTTTATTCATACATCCTATGCTGGAGGATCTGCTGGATTGTATTTTGTGGCTTGCCCATTAAAAGGCTGAAGAAAATGGGAAAACATCCTGGACACCTTTTGCTTCTACCTTAAGCAATTTTATGCCACCCTTTTGAGTTAACAGTACTGCACAGAGGAAAACAGGTATTCAAAGTGCTTTTTTAAAAAAGCCCCAACAATTTTGAAAGTGAAATTTGTATAGTCCTGTTTCACAGTTTTCAAACCCTACCCAATTTTCAGTTCTTGATATGCTCTGCAGCATCTGATGCAGCTCATGAGCTCGGAGGAGGGGTGCAGCCTGCCAGAAAACCACAAACCAGAAATAGACAACCTGAAGCTTCAGGCCTCAGTACAGCTGCCTCTTGAGTGAGACTAGTTTCAAGACAGGAAAGGGGGCAAGTAGTAAAAGGCTTCCCTTTTTGCAAAAGGCAACCACCCACCCAACTGACAGCTCGGAAAGTCCTGCATTTTCATCATTGTCCCACTTGCAAATCTCCCCCCTCCAGAAAAAAAGTTGAGTAGGACTCAGAAACCAAGAGCTAGCCCACTCTTGGCTTTTATGGCTCAAAAAATCACAAGATGCAGACTGGATGAAGAGGTGTGAACCTCTGGCCTGTATCCATGAAATCTGCATTCTCCCCTTTTTTTCTTCCGTTATGTGCTTGTGATCCTTTTATAAACGAAACACCCTTTTAACAGCCAATCTGGGACTTTTCATAACACCAAAAGGGTATTCATAATCTTACGCTTAAAAAAGATGTAAACGTTTTAAAATATTTAACCTTGATCTGATTTACTTGGGCGTTGTGTGGATCGATGCAGATTCTTGACTGAATCCTAGTCAGTCTTGATCGTTGTGTATTGTCACAGATTGTATAGTCTGAAGTTGAAATGAGTGATGGCAACAAAAACTGGATAATTCCCTACCCCCATTAAAAAGTAAATCACTTTTTTAAAACGCATCTTTCAGAGGTGTCTGACATTTACAGCTCATTAAAAATATTTCATACGTTTAAAACTATCCCTTCAAGTAGAAAAACTACCTTACCAAGGTTTAAACTAAGCTACATCATTTTTCCCCCTGGTAGATTCTTAATTTTCCTTACAGGAAAATTTCTACCTGCCAATTTTCTCCTACTTCGTATCAGCACGGTCATCACAGAACTAGAGATATTTCTACTTCTTGCCAAATTTGCAAGTGGCATTTCTCAACTCCAGCAACTTTAGGAATTCTGGGAGTCGAAGTCTACCCATCATCAAGCAGGCTGACTGGGGGAATTCTGGGAGTCAAAAGTCCACCAATCTTAAGGGTTACTATGGTTAAATTTAACCACTTTCCTCGTGTGAGGAAGAAACGTTCTGCTTTGCACTTCTGCAGAAGTAATTGCACAAGGCGATCGATCGATGTACATGCAACAAACTTGTTCCTCCACTCCAAGCCAATTCAAGATGGTGCTTTCTCGGTGGTTGTTTTTTGTTTTTTAAGTATTCAACTGGTTTGTCCTCTTGTAGGTGGAGGGTAAGAGGGGAACCTCTAGTCGTTCACCCACCTCAGAAGAAGCAGGAAGATGCAGCCACGGATGTGGGTTTGGCTTTACCGTTGCACAAAAGGAGCTTAAGAACAGAACAGGCTTCAGTCATGAATCCGGAGGAGCAAATGGTGACTTGGTTGATTTCTATGGGGGCTTTGAATTCTCCCAAAATGATGGTTGAGGACCCCGTGCAATTCCTCAAGACGTCTTTGAAAGACGGAGTGGTCCTTTGCAAACTCCTCCTCCGACTTCTGCCTGGATCTATCGGAAAGGTATGCCCGGGATGATTTGCTTGCCTAGAAAGAGGGTAGAGATGGACTTTTGGGGAGGCCAGCTCTTCAGTATTGAGGGGTAAGTTTTAATTGCAAGTAGGGGGGGGGAATCCTGGTTCCTAAGATTGTGGGGACAGGATCCCCTATCACTGGAGAATCTAAGAAGCCTTGAAGATCTTGAACGGTGCAAAGAAACCAAAATAGTTGATTGCTCTACAGTCCAGTAGCTGCCCGAATGGAAGAACATGCCCAGTTTCTGGAATACAGCAAAAAAAAATAATTTTTTTTTAAAGGCAAAATCAAAAGAGGTTTCCAATTTATAACAGATACAAAAGGTCCTTTTAGAGTGGAAGAAGAGAGAGCATACCTGGGGCCAACCCATAATATCATTAATTTTCTCGAAAGCATTGCCTCAAGGACAGCTCTTGATCCACGGCAGAACTCACCGGCTCAAACGGGATCCTAAGAGTTATTTCAGTATTTTTTTTCTCCTTCTGCTCCTGTTTTCAGACTATTGATTTGGGATGACTAAGGCAGAGGGTATTAACATGATTTAGAAATCACGTAGAAAGTGTGAAGCCCCCTCAAGTTAAGCCTGTATCTAGCAAATACAGAAGTGGAAGATCTGTGAACTTTTAGACCCAGAGAAGCATTTGGAAAGTGCAAGAGACAAATGGAAAACACCAAAAAAAGAAAGAGGAAGAAATAAACTATGTTGTCTCTTCACGTTGCCTTGGAAGTTCCTTTCTTTCTCTTGAAAAAGGAAGCATTTCTTGGGGTACCCGCGCAGACCACCTTCCGCTTGGAATTGTTCAGCAGAAGGATTTAGAGCAGGGGTCTCCAAACTTGGCAACTTTTCAAGACTTGTGGATTTCAGTTCCCAGAATTCCTCATGCTAGCTGAGGAATTCTGGGAGCTGAAGTCCACCAGTCTTAAAGTTGCCAAGTTTGAAATACCCCTCATTTAGAGGAATCCTTCAACAGGCTGGATTTCCTCCCCTCCCACTCTGAATGAGAGGAGGAGGAGGAGAAGAAGAAGAAGAAGAAGAAGAAGAAGAAGAAGAAGAAGAAGAAGAAGAAGAAGAAGAAGAAGAAGAAGAAGAAGAAGAAGAAGAAGAAGAAGAAGAAGAAGAAGAAGAAGAAGAAGAAGAGGAGGAGGAGGAGGAGGAGGAGGAGGAGGAGGAGGAGGAGGAGGAGGAGGTGGTGGTGGTGGTGGTGGTGGTGGTGGTGGTGGTGGTAGTAGTAGTAGTAGTAGTAGTAGTAGTAGTAGTAGTGTTATTGGCCTGGGTTAAAAACAAAACAGATTGTCCCAAAATTTGATCGCCTGGAGCTCCAATTCCACGGCTCTTATTTCAGCCACACCCTGCCCACATGACTGTTGACCTCAGCTTCTGCTTCATTAGCTGTGGAAGATCTGCTGATGTTTCTTATGGGGCAGAGCAGAGCAAGACCCATGGAAAGGGGCTGCATGATGGGGTCCTGCACCCCTGACCTGGAATGTGAGGAACTTCAGTGAGACAGCTACTGCAGGCTTGATGTGAAAATGCTGGGCATCCTTTGGCAACTTCAGGGATGACGTGAACCTCAAGGCTACTTTATTTCTCCTCCAAAACATGAAGACATAGTGGACCTCGCAGCACCCAGTGATTGTATTTTAATGACGTGCCCAGGTCAATCAATTAAATTTTACTTATGGTGACTGAACCAGCATAAGAAGGGTGGGTGGCGTATAAACAATAATTTTAAAAGCTAAAAAAAAAAAAGGTATAAAATGCACAGAAGGACAGTCACCTTCCCTTCTGTCTCCACATCTCTGTACTTCGCAAGTTCTTACTTACATTGAGCTTTTGGTTAAAACCAGGAACCGGGATTTATAAATCCAGGATCCCTGGTTCTGCATCTCTAGGAAAAACGCATTCTGAAGTGCTTGAGGGATCCTGAAGAACAGAGTTCAAGAGTCTGACTCTTGCACAAGCCGTCTTCCTCTGTGTCTCTTTAACCAGAACCGTGGAGGCCAGAGTCTCCTTTTATTTTTAGCAGAAGCTCAGCATTAGAGCCCGGACCATTTGTTTGCAGAATGCTGATTCAGACCTGCTGCAAATCGATACCTTTTCTTCATGTATGGCCTACAGCTGTACATTTGAGTCCCATTAGCATGTGAATCTATATCTAGAAATTCTGGGTTAGCAATACTGGGAAGTCCCCTGTGACTTGTAAACAGTGACTTGGTTTTAGGGCATGGATCACGCAAAAGGGAATTTTATTCAACAAGCTGTTATTTAAACACACAGTGATGTAACTGAATGTAAAAACTTCTCTGCCCTGATGATGGACAGTTATGCCAGTTCCAGTGAGCTGAAGCCCAGCATGAAGATAGTGGAGAGCTGTGAGAGTGGAAGTCTAACATATCTGCAGTCAATATGCAATATGCAAGCTAGACAAAACACAGTGGCTTAATGCAAGCCTATTTTATGGCCGTCTTGAAAAACATCCTTCTAAACCATGACTGTTAAAGCCAGAGACAAGCCCGTAATTGGTGCTAAATCAGCAGAGCAGGAAATCCTAAGAGCAGCAACAAAACAAAATAATTAAATATCACATCTCCATAATCGAAACAGTTTTCACTCAACCTCAATTTTCCCTGTTGTGTTTCTTCTGAAATGCCTTTCAGAAACTGGGATCCTCGCAAAGAAAACAAGATGTTTTTCAGGTTCTGAGGTCTTCATAGGCCTCAGAAGAAGGTTTCAGATGATTTATTCCATTTGAGTTGTTGTTATGCACATTTCTTCTCTCCTCTTCAAAGAACTTCCCCGTTTCTCAAGAAAAAGAAAAAAGAAATCCACCAGAGCAACAAAACCAGAAAGACCGGAATTATAATTAGAAGGTTGCCAACAATATTCCAAATGCAGCAGTAACTGTTTTGAGGATCAGATTTGCATGGGAGCAAGTCTTTGAAATGCAAGACTCCACACCCACGTGACCCGGCTTTAAAGGTTGCCATTATCACCTGAAATTAGGCTAACAAGCAGCCTGGTACAGCAGACAAAGTCTTTTGTGTAAGCATCTCCTATGATGGAAATCAACTGACTTCCAAGAAACCCAACTGAATCAATCAATCAGGTCCGAAGCCACTTAAGAAATTATTATTTTCCTTGCTAGGATCCTTCTACTTCATCTTGAAGGACCTGCACGTTCTCGCTTGCTTTCCAAGCTAGCTAGCTCTCTGCAGAAGACCTTCTCCGTTAGCGCTAAAGATCTTAGTCTATCACCCATAAAGATTCCCAGAATTGCTCAGCAGAGGGATCTCCCCTTCTACTGGTAGTTCACATATCCTCATCGCCAACCATCTTTCTCTTCCTGGCAGAAGGGCATCTTACGGGCAAGGTCATCTCAAGCATTCAGCGCCAAGTCCTAAGCTGGGTGGCTTTGGGTTCATTTGTTCCACGGTTCTTCCTGAGTTGACAGCTTGTCTTCCCCACCTCCCCCACCCACCCACAGTCCATCTTCTTCGTGAAAATCCAGTGAGCACCAAGCTGTCTCATTCCTTCGTACAAACACTCAGAGTAATGTTCTTTGAGAACGAAAGCAAGCTAGCTGACAGGAGTTGTCACAAGCTTCCAAATCCGTTGACTGTTGGATTCTGGTTCTTTTTTAGTACTGCCTGGAGCCCAAGACGGAAGCCGACTGCATTGGCAATATCCAACATTTTTTAAATGGATGTGCAGCGCTGAAAGTGGAGGTAAGCCGCAACAGATCACAGCACCGTGGAGGGTCTGGTCCAGCTGCCCGATGGAGTGAGGGGCTGGCCTTAGGCAGAGGGTGCCAGGGAGGTGGTAAGGAAGAGCTGCTGCAACCCAGTCACCTGACCCAATGGTAGCCCTGGAGGAGGCTGATGTCATTAAGTCCATTTTGGTTCATGAGAAGGTTTTATTCTCAGCCTTGTCCTTTCATTGGAAATAACCAGCAGCTGAAACCAGGACGTTTTGCAAAGATGACAGACAGACAGACAGAAAGACAGGGATGGATGGATGGATGGATGGATGGATGGATGGATAATGAGTGAGAGCTGGGACTGGGGAAGATTTTAAAAGGGGCTTTCTCTGAACCCAAACAATCTCCAGCCCCGGAAGCAGATCCTGAGTCCTGTGACTCTCTTGTAGCAAGGCCAGTTCTGAGTTCAGACCTTCTCAGAGCAGCTTCCCTGCCTTTGCACCAATTCGGCACTTCTCCGGAGTCCAGCTAATGCAAGAACCAGAATGGCAGGTTTTAGGCTTCCCAAGGGCGAGGCGTCTTCTCCCAGTCTTGCCTTCTTCAGTCTACCTTATCTTTAGGTAGGCTGGGGGGGGGGTTCCTGCCCCTAACCTGTCCCCACTCGGCTTGCTGGGTTTACAGACACGTCTTTGGGGAAACGGAGGGCCGGGTCAGGTGGGGTGGGAGAGTGTGCAAGAGAAGAACAGGACAGTAGAAAATTCAGTGGTTGCAGCTCTGCACCGGCAACTCCCACCAGGTGCCATATGTGAGTCTGGGGAGGGGATTCCCCCCCCCTTCACTGCCCACTCCCATTGTTCCCGGTGGCATTCTGGGGATGATTCAGTTCCTGCACCAGAGCAAGGAGGGGCTCGACAGCAAAGGCGAAGCAGATGTCTGGATTCAAGCTGGTCGTCACTGAGCCGGGGCTTTGGCGAGATAATTTGGGGGGGGGGGGAAATGTGAAAATACCAGCTCCCAGTGGCACCCCCTCTATCCCACCCACCCGGTTGCTTTCTCGGTTGCTCTCCCGCCAATAACGCTGCCAAGCATATCACGAAGCCCCTCTGCAGAAGGAGGGAGGGAGGGAGGGGGGCTGTCTGGGCTCCACTCCGAGTCCGGTTGGCTGCCAGGCTGGGCAACAGGCAGGCGACTATAGAGTGGCAGGGAGTTCCAACGGAGGCCCCCATTGAGAAGTTCGCTTGTGCTGGACTGAGCACCTACCTCCTGGGTAACGTAAATGACATTTGGCAGCGCCGTGGCCGTCCCTTCCCTTTCTCGGGCTTCGGTCGACAATCCGAAACCCGCGGCCTCTTCGCCACCGAAACTACCGTTTCGTGCCAAGGCAGCTGCAGCCAGGCCAGCCCCCCCCCCCGTCCCCTCCCTCCCTCCCTCCCACCGGCTAGCCGTGTTTGCCGATCTGGGGCAACGACCAGTTGCTAGGCCGATTGCCAGCGGGGGTCGTGGTGGCGCTCAGAGTCTGCCTGCTTGTCCGACATAGCGAGGTTGTTGTAAAAAAAAAAAAAAGAGAGAGANCTCTCTTGTAGCAAGGCCAGTTCTGAGTTCAGACCTTCTCAGAGCAGCTTCCCTGCCTTTGCACCAATTCGGCACTTCTCCGGAGTCCAGCTAATGCAAGAACCAGAATGGCAGGTTTTAGGCTTCCCAAGGGCGAGGCGTCTTCTCCCAGTCTTGCCTTCTTCAGTCTACCTTATCTTTAGGTAGGCTGGGGGGGGGGGGTTCCTGCCCCTAACCTGTCCCCACTCGGCTTGCTGGGTTTACAGACACGTCTGTGGGGAAAGGGAGGGTCGGGTCAGGTGGGGTGGGAGAGTGTGCAAGAGGAGAACAGGACCGTAGAAAATTCAGTGGTTGCAGCTCTGCACCGGCAACTCCCACCAGGTGCCATATGTGAGTCTGGGGAGGGGATTCCCCCCCCCTTCACTGCCCACTCCCATCGTTCCCCGTTGGGACTCTGGGGATGATTCAGTCCCTGCACCAGAGCAAGGAGGGGCTCGACAGCAAAGGCGAAGCAGATGTCTGGATTCAAGCTGGTCATCACTGAGCCGGGGCTTTGGCGAGATAATTTGGGGGGGGGGGGAAATGTGAAAATACCAGCTCCCAGTGGCACCGCCTCTATCCCACCCACCCGGTTGCTTTCTCGGTTGCTCTCCCGCCAATAACGCTGCCAAGCATATCACGAAGCCCCTCTGCAGAAGGAGGGAGGGAGGGGGGCTGTCTGGGCTCCACTCCAAGTCCGGTTGGCTGCCAGGCTGGGCAACAGGCAGGCGACTATAGAGTGGCAGGGAGTTCCAACGGAGGCCCCCATTGAGAAGTTCGCTTGTGCTGGACTGAGCACCTACCTCCTGGGTAACGTAAATGACATTTGGCAGCGCCGTGGCCGTCCCTTCCCTTTCTCGGGCTTCGGTCGACAATCCGAAACCGGCGGCCTCTTCGCCACCGAAACTACCGTTTCGTGCCAAGGCAGCTGCAGCCAGGCCAGCCCCCCCTCGTCCCCTCCCTCCCTCCCACCGGCTAGCCGTGTTTGCAGATCTGGGGCAACGACCAGTTGCTAGGCCGATTTCCAGCGGGGGTCGTGGTGGCGCTCAGAGTCTGCCTGCCTGTCCGACACAGCGAGGTTGTTGTAAAAAAAGAGAGAGAGAGAGCGAGAGCGAGGTTTGCTGGCCGTCGCCCGGTCCAGGGAGGCCCGGCAGCCCGGCAGGGACTCGGGAGCATCTTCCCCACCCCACGGCCCGGGCTGGGGAGTTGAGCGGGACCCCGCGAAGCAATCTATCCGCGCCCCGGGGACGCCTTGACGCGGGGCGGGGGGAAGCGGCCGGCTCCGCAGAAGGCCGGGCGCTCCCCGGCAGGCGGCGCGGAGGGGGCGCTCCGGAGCATCGCCCCTGCCTGGCTGGCTGGCTGGCTGGCTGCCTCCCGCTCCCGCCGCCTGTCACTTCCCCTGCTTTGCGCCGCCCGCCCGCCATCCAGCTCCGGGTCAGGCCGTCCCTGCCCAGCGGGGCTCCCCGATCGCAGGCAGGCAGGCAGGCAGGCAGGCAGCGGCGGCCGGGCAGGCGGAGCGCAGCGCTTGAGCCACCGGACGGACGGACGGACGGGCGAGCCAGCTCCGGAGTCTTCCTCCTCCTCCTCCTCCAGGCTGCGCGGTCCCGTCCACCTCCCCTCCGCCGACTTCCGCGCCTCCGACCCGGGCAGGCGCTCCCCGGTGCGCCCCGGCCCTGCTCTCTTCCTCCCCGGGGCCTGCAGGGTTTCCGCCGCTTCCCAGCGCAGGTAAGACGCTTCCTCCTTCCTTGGCCAAGTTTCTGTTCCCGGGCGACGAGGCTGAGCCTCCTCTGGCCCGCTTTCCGGGGCGCCCGGAGGGTCCCCCGGGAGCGGTCGGCTGCGGCGGAGCTCTGCCCGCTCTTCCCTCTCGGCCGGCCCGTCCGCAGGAGGAAGGGCCCTGGGTCTTGCCATGCCCTCTGGATGTGGAAAGGGGAGCCCGGTCCCCCCCCCACTCCACATCTGGCGCCCTCTTGCCGGATGCAGCTGCGTAGAAGAAGCCCTGGGTGTCTCCAGATGCAATTTGCAGGGTGGTTGGACATCCAGGCCCATCACCCACTCATAACCTTTACTCTCCCTCCATCAGGGGGGGACTTCCAGCTGGCAGAGCTCCTGGCCCTGCTTCATGATGGGCCACGTGCGGCCAATGTGCACTCTTGGAGGTCAAGTTGGGAATTCTGCTGTTCGTCCAGAAACAGCTTAATGATTTCTCTGCCGTAACCAAATTGCTTTCCTGGAGAAAATTGGCAGAAGAAACCAGAGGGAGACGCAGAGAAAGGAGGCTGGGGGCCAGGGCTAGGTCCTTCTGTAAGAGCAGGCGAGGGGATTGGCCATGGAAAGTTGGAAGGGGCATCAAAACCCTTGAAGGGTGAAAAAGTGGCAATAATTGCACAAGGTGTTTGGCTGAGGGTTGCACAGAGAGGACTATCCGGAGGACTCTAGACCAGGGCTCTCCAAACTCCATGACGTTAAGACTTGTGGACTTCAACTCCCAGAATTCCCCAGCCAGCCAAGTCTTAAAGCTGCCAAGCTAGGAGACCCCTGCTCCAGACTCTAAGCCAGGAGGAACTTGTTTAAGAGTGGAAGGGGGAATCCACACATTCAGTGGGGAAGTTCCACCATGATTTCAGTTCTGCCTGCACGCGCTTGGTCGGCCTGCAAGTTCTGGAGAACGTCAAAAGAGTCTCTTTCTTCCTTCCAGGTGGGACTGAGTGAGGCATAGCAGCTCCTGCCATAAGGTGCTTCCTTTTGTGGCCCTGGAGACCCCAATCTGCCACTCCCCTCCCTCCTCTTTTCTACCCACTCTGCTTTCCATCTCAGAATGCGTGGGCATTTCCCCCCCCCCAACCATCTAATCTTTCTTTTTCACTTCTGGAAAAAAAAGGAACGCAAAGCTTTTGTATGGATCCGTAGGATAAAAAAATTGGGCAGACGCTTCTCCTCTTTTGGCTTGCTTTTGAAAGCATCCCGTCAAATGGAGAAATTGGTTTTAAGGGAATTTGGCTGCTTATGCAGATAGGTAAATCAGTGAAAGTTCTTTAGATCGATTGCAAAGACGTTTCTGACTATAAATTAAGATAAACCAATTAAGGCATTCTGGGCTGGTTTGGATGGGATCGGATCTGAATTGGATGTGGACGTGATGCAATTTATAACCAAGAGTCTGGGCGTGATTAATCCCTTGTAGGTGATGATTCTGCCATAAATATAGGATACAAATAATATGTTACAAAAAAAGAGAAAGGGCTTTTTTCCAAATTGTGCATATAGTGGAATGCCTGTTATGAAATGATGCATGCCACAGATGGTGTCCCTCCTCTCCCCCTTTTTTTTAAAAGGGCTCCATTTTTTCTCTCTCCCAAAGGCCGTTCCTTAGTAATTTCTACTGCTTTGGCACATTCTATCCTGATCCGTCTTAATAGGAGAAAACGTAGAATAGAGTGGAAGGGACTCCAGAGGTCCAACCCCTTGCTCAAGCAGGAGACCCTGTACCATTCTGGACAAATGGCTGTCCAGTCTCTTCTTGAAAACTTCCAGTGATGAAGCACCCACAACCTCTGAAGGCCAGCTGTTCCATTGGTTAATTGTCCTCTCTATTGGGAAGTTTCTCCTTAATTCCAGGCTGCTTCTCTCTTTGGTCAGTTTCCATCCGTTGCTTCTTGTCTTGCCTTCTGGTGCTTTGGAAAATAAGTTCACCCCTTCTCCTTTGTGGTAGCCCCTCAAATACTGGAAGGCGGCTTTGTTTCTGGTGGCATCGATATCTGAGCGCATGTTTTATATTGTGTGCTGTCTTGGGTAGATAATCATCTTGGAAAAATGGACTGTACTTGTTTGCAAAAATACAATGGGTTTCAACGCACAACTCCCTCCCAGACCATGCACTGATCCTGCCACAAATCGGACCACATGAGCAAAATACCCCATTGCTGCAGCCTCTAAATTAAAGCCCCAGAGATCTCTGGTGGTCAAAGTGCCGGAGAAGATATGAGCCACAATCCAGGATCATGGAGTGGCACAATTCCCTGCCAGATGATAATTTGGCCTTGCAAAGAGCTGCTCAAACAAACAAACTCCTGTTCCCTCTTTAGAACTCTAAATTACAGTCTTCAGGTCACAGAATCGCCCTTGGCTTGGCCCAGTATGTAAAGAAAGCCACAGAAGCGTCGCGTTTGGGGGGTTCAGCTGCAGAACAGCTGACGTAAAGGGAAAAGTTGCTTTTAAAATTTAACTCACTGTAGTAAAGCAGGGCCGGATCCTTGCTTGAAGATGGTGGAGCTGCTGTTTTGGTTTAGTGAACTCTGCATAGCTCTACTTTAAGGAGCAAAATGCACCAGAGCCAACTGGTTGCTATCAGAAGAAGAAAGAAGAAGAAGAAGAAGAAATGCAGGAAATTCAAACAAATCTATACCCACCCCCCAAATGAAAGCCAGAATGGTGCAGTGTTAAAAGTATTGGGAATGGCTGTTTGATTTGGCTGTTCGTTTTTTCAGAAAATCCCGGCATGCTCCACACAGGTGGTCGAGGATTCTGGGAATTGAAGTCCACACATCTGGAGGGTCCTTGGGCTGGGAAAGATGGGTTGATAACTAAAAAAGTGAAGGTCAGGGGTGGCCCAGCAGTCCTCGTTGCTAGCCAATATCTCTAGGAAGCTCTGCAAGAGGGCCCTTCCTGTAGCCTCCAGCTTTAGTAACAGCTATTGCAAGGTGCAAGGTAGACTGCCCCTAAACATGGAGCTTTGCTTGCTCACAGCCACTGAAAGAGCTCTAAATGTTTGGATTGCGTTTCCTTAAGGCTGCAAAGGTTGACATGACATTTCTTCTCCCCCCCCCCCCCCCGTCTTTCTCCCAGCTGTTTGATGCCCACAATCTCTACTCCGGAGAAAATTTCTCCAAGGTACTGACTGCCCTTTCTTCTCTCAACAAAGCAACTGAAGGTAAGCGGGGAGAAAAAGGGGGAATGTCACAATATTTTAGATTAGATTAGATAACCTTTATTGTCCTTTTTTTTCCCCTGTGGGCACAACGGCACACATTAAAAATGAAATTTAGTTGCTTGCTCTCAAGTGTACACCTACATAACACACATATAAAACATACTATATACAACATATGTATAGACCTCTGCCCTTACATATAAGTAACATACAAATATTAGCCACTGTCCATCTTCCTGCATACGTCTCTTGCCTTCGTTTCCCGGCTTTGTTCTGAGCTCCAGAGGTCTTTCTCCAGGCGGCAGCTACTAAAGCCAACCGTGGCTAGTTTCAGAAAGCTAAGCAGAGTTTGCAAGCCACCACAAGATCTCAGGGCTGTCGGCCAGCTCTGGGGGGGGGGGGGGGGGGGGGGGGGGGGGGGGGGGGGTTGGGGAAAGATTGAGAGAAGACAGAGGCAAACTTTCCATGCTGTTGCTAAATAAAAGCCAAGGATTGGTCCACAGAGGACTCACGAGTCAAGCTAGACTTGAAAGAGACTTTATCTTGACAATGTGGGGCATGTACACACACACACACACACACACACACACACACACACACCAGCCTCATCTATTTGCAGAAGAACAATAGAAGAAAATTTGTACCTTTTGGCTGTTCCTATAGAAACTGGTGCTCATTCCTTTTCAGAGATGAAAGTGTGACCCAGTTTTGTTCTTTTCCCATATCCTATCTTGTAGGTTGTTTTTCTTTTCTTCTTCCTTCCTTCCTTCCTTCCTCAAAATTAATCTTTCTTTTTTCTTCCCTCCTTCTATCTCTGTCTTTCCTTTTTTCTTCTTTCCTTCTTACCTTTCCTTCCTTCCTTCCTTCCTTCCTTCTTCCCACCCTCAAATGAGTCTTTTCTTTTCTTTCTCAGCATTGGACTGCTAATACAGTAAAATGCACATGTCAGTAGTTTCTCTACTGTTTCTCTACTGCTTAGATCATTCTTGGAGGATCTGGCAAGGATCCGCTTAACATGATATGGTCGGGCTGGTAATGCGCAATGAAATCTTTATTTAAAGCTAAAAGCTTTAGGGGATGCAAACAGTGGAATACGGCTGAACAGATGCTCGGTTTTAACAAGATTCAGAGCAAGTTGAAGAATATAGAAAAGGATTGAGGCTTCCTAAGCATATCTAAATAGATTTTATGTTGTCCTGTGTGGTGTGAAACAGATGCCAGACCTTCAAAGAGGGTCCCATCCTGTCCCACCAGTTGTGATTTATATATTTATATCTGTGGGGGTGGCAAGAACATCTTGTGATGCTGAATGAAAAATGTTGACAGTTATAATTTGATGCCTGAAAACAGAAACAGATAATGCGTCTTTTCCTCAGGTGGTGATTTATTTCTTGGCCACTCTGTTCTGATGTCCATTTCTTTGATGGATGGATGATGAAGATAGATAGATAGATAGATAGATAGACAGACAGACAGACAGACAGACAGACAGACAGACAGACAGACAGACAGACAGACAGACAGACACAACATGGATGGATGGATGGATGGATGGATGGATGGATGGATGAAGATAGACAGACAGACAGACAGACAGACAGACAGACAGACAGACAGACAGATAACATGGATGGATGGATGGATGGATGGATGGATGGATGGATGGACGGACGGATGGATAACATGGATGGGAGGAGGGAGCCAGACAGACATAGATACATGGATGGATGGATGGATGGACAGACAAACGGACAGATGGACGGATGGATAGATGGACCACTCATCTTAAAATGGTTAAAATTGGGAAACGCTGCTTTAGTGAATTCCTGCCCGGAACAGGGCTGGACTAGATACCTCTCCAACTCACGCAATCTGTGACACCAGCTGGTTGACGGAGAAGATGGCGCTTGGATGCCACACTTATAAGCCACCCACACTTTCCTCCTTCCGAAATGGCTCGCCATATGATGCTGAAAGCTGTTCTACTTAGCAACCCACTTTCTCTTCGGAAGGCTGGGCAGGGAGCTTTTTCTCAGCCCCAGCATAGAGCCCTTTATTGCTCTGTTAAAAGCCCCAACAAATGGTCCCACAACAGCCGGTGAGGCCCCACCCCACACTTCCCCGAAGGCAGCCACCCTCAGTCCCACCAACAAAAGCCAGCAAGCAACAGAACAAAACCAATTCGCAAAGGCAGAGAGGAGGTCCAAAGAGAAGCTCGCGGGGCAAGGTTCGTTCGTTCCCCCTTTAGGAAGACCCAGGTGTGAGATTGTGGTCCAGGAATCAGGCCCCGTTTAACTATGATCTACTGGCTGGGGAATTCTGGGAGCTGACATCCACCCACCTTAAGATGGTTAAAGTTGAGAAACGTTCCTCAGGGAGCTTTCGGTTGGGTTGCAAAGGATGCAGGCTTTCATTTGAACCATTGCAGCTCTTTTTCTAGCCTCAACCCAGCAGGGGTTATTTCCTTCCGTTTTTGACCTCTTCTCCTTTTTAACAGATCCAGGAAGTTCTACCAGGAAGCCATGTTCTCAGCTGCCTTCTCCAGCCCCCGGTGACTGCCAGCCCCTGACCCAAGCCGCCTCGGCTCGGCCATCAAGAGTGTTGCAGAGACAGTCAAGAGTCGGGGTATGTTTCAACGCGATCCCACCCAGAGCAGGGACACCCAGTTTGCACCTTCCTTCACTACCCTTGGGTCTGTGGCCTTCCCAGGTCTTTCCTGCCATCGCAGGGGATGTACAAGAAACGGCTTAGGAATTGGATTTAATTAATGCAATGCTGTTTTAACTGAAATTCATCATAGTTTAGGTTTGAGCTGGCTTTGTCTATTCTCTGGGAGGCTTTTTTTATCCCTCTTCTCCTAACCTATTCCTTCTTAGCGGCTGGCCTTGCCACGGCAGGCCAACTCAAGAATAATATGCCATCCTAAAAATGTGTTGGATCAGCACAGGAACTAGCGAGCAAGGGTCCAAGGCCTGGTGTTAACCTGGCGCACCAGAATAGTTGTACAGCTATATGGTAAAGGAGGAATTTCCTAGTTCAAACCCAACTCTTTTGGAGAAGCTGTCGGCTTCATAGTTTCAGCCCTTCCTGACATCGGTTGACCCAACAAAGCATCTTTCTTCTGCTTCTTCCTAACAAAGTTGCCTGGGTGATTCCGTCTCTCACCTCTTCCCAGCACCCTCCTTTAGTCTTTCTCTTCTGGAACCAACCGTCCTCCTCCTGATCTCACTTTGTGTTTAGGAGATGACCGAAAACGGCAGTCACCAGCTGGTGGTCAAGGCTCGGTTCCAGTTCAAGCAGACCAACGAAGACGAGCTGACCATCAACAAGGGGGACATCATTTATGTCACCCGCACTGAGGAAGGGGGCTGGTGGGAAGGGACCCTTAATGGAAAGACGGGTTGGTTCCCCAGCAACTACGTCAGAGAAATTAAATCCTCCGGTAAGACATTTGGTGTTATCGTTCCTATCATTGTGGAGGTTTACATTCATGTGTGTTGTTGTGATGGCATTTGCTTGGATATTTTTGTTTTCCACGCCCAGATAGGTTTGTGAGGTCTGCTAAAAAGTACATAGCAGCCTATATGGGTTGCTCATTCTTAACATAGTGTGGCTTCCATAGGTAGCTTTATGTGCTGTAGATTCTTTCTGCATTGTGAAAAAAGCCTTCTCTTTCTTCTCCTCCACCTTTCTTCTCCTCCACCTCTGCTTCAGTCTCCTCCCCTTACTCCTTCTCCTTCTCCTTTTGTTTCTCCTCCTCCTTCTCCTTTTTCTTCTCCTTCTCCTTTACTTTCTCCTTATTCTCCTCCTTTCCTTTCTCCTTCCTGTCTTCTCCTCCTCCCCTCCTCCTTTCTTTATTGCTCCAATCCCTCCACCACATCAATGTTTTGTGTTTTCAATCTCTCCTGGTGAGGAGTGGAAATGCTGCCTGTTCCTCTTCCTCTAAAGGAAGAAAAAGTCAGTTTTGGTTTTACAAATGACGATGACAAAGTAAGATTGTATGGATATTCCTTAGGGTTTTGCCCTGTGGTCAACTGAGTCACACACCAGGGTGGAACTCTGGGTCCTTTCTCTGAAATTGAGTTCTGTCTCCAGGAAGAGGTTTCATTTGTTCCACGATCATTTCTCCTGGTGCTGGGACATCATGAGGTCTTGGCCCTTGGCCCTCCTCGCTTGTGCATGTCTTCAGAGCTTGCTAGAAATCCTACCTCAGTGGAGAACTTTCAAATCTATTCAGGGGTAGCGCTGCCATTTCAGGAAAGCCAATGATTGTGTAGGGAGCCTTTCCTCGGCCTTGGCACAGCATTCTTTGCTTATAATAGGTTTCTAAACTGAGGCTGTAATTTCCCCAGGGGAAGAGAGCCATTGCTCACGCTGGTTCTAAATTGAAATGTTCAGGGTTTCACCAGCAAAGGAGATTGTAAGACAAGATTTGTGGCTGTAATGGGTGAAACAACAATAGCAGTGAAAAGTTATCATGGAAGGAAGGAAGGAAGGAAGGAAGGAAGGAAGGAAGGAAGGAAGGAAGGAAGGAAGGAAGGAAAGAAAGAAAGAAAGAAAGAAAGAAAGAAAGAAAGAAAGAAAGAAAGAAAGAAAGAAAGAAAGAAAGAAAGAAAGAAAGAAAGAAAGAAAGAAAGAAAGAAAGAAAGAAAGAAAGAATGGCATTGCTTGGTCAAATAAGTAGAGTATCTAAGCTCAATCCCAGTTGGGGCACAAATGCCTAACTTATTCCCTGCATCTATCTGCTTCTAGAGTAGTTGATGCCATCCACCACTTCCAGATCCATACCTCCTGCTCATTTGGAGTGAGACTTTTAGTTGTAGTTCAGCACCCCAGGTTAGGGAAGGTTGCTCCAGGCGAGAGGGTGTTCTTCATACCTGTTCAGAGGCTCCACCTCTACCGTTGCACACCTGTAGGTGCCCTCTGTGTCCTCTTTTGGCAACATAAGTTCACTTCTCTCTAACCATTCCTTCTGTTTCTCCTCCAGATAAACTGCTCTCTCCTAAGGCTTTGAAAGGGGCTGAAAGTCCTCAATTTACCAAGAATTACTATGCTGTGGTAAGCCAAGTTTAAGCTAAACACCTGTTGAGCAATGGGGCTACAGGATCTGCCCTGGTTATGCTAGTTATCTGAATTCTAGACAGCTCTTCTCAATGTCAGTTTTCTAAGTTAAGGAAGGAGCTACCTTATCATAGCTGAGCCTCCTGCTTTTTCATTTGTTGAAGCCATGTTGCAGTTGAGAGCCAGAACATGGACATGCATTGGCCTCTCCAAGAAGTGTCTCTTCTAATGCTGATTCCCATTTTGAGTGTAGGTGGTCCACTTTCAATTGAAATGGAGAAGAGATTTCTGTTTTAGCCCCAGGACTTCCTTCTTTGACGTTAGGACCTTGGCATGTGGATGTTTGTGCCAGCAGGGATGTCGGAGGCTAAACGCATTCCTGCAGGGTGTTGTTAGGAAAGGACTTATTATTAGCAAGGAGAAAAAAATATATATTCTTAAGATAGCTCCCTCTTATGATCTTAACATTCTAGTTTTTTGGTCGTTTTATCGGGGGGGGGGAGAAATTCAACTTTTCTGCCATTTTTAATCATCCTATGCCAAAGAATTCTCCTGCCTCTTTTTTGGCTCTTACTTATTTACTTTGATGGAAGAGATAAGTAGCTTTCAAATTTCCTTCCAAAGGAGAAGAGAATTGCAATGACGTTCTTCTGGGGTAGCATAACGTTCTTGTGCTTAATTTTTGTCTTCTCATAACACAGGTGGATTCCAAATGATGAAGAACAGAGGTCTACATTTAAGGGAAATCAGTATTTCTCTGACTGATTCCAGTGATTATAAACCTGGCACGTGTCAGGCTATCAAGCATGAAGCCTGGGGCTTCATTACTTATCAGTATTTCCCAACCACCAACATTTTAATATTTCTCCTGTCCACATGGTTGCCCAGAAAACAACATAAACAACAGAAGTTGACCTCAAGTCAACTTTTCTTTCAAAAAGCTACACCCAACCAAAGTTGGGTTTGGTCTATGCTTGAATCGGAGAGTCAAGACTGTAGGCTAAATTGAGGTGTTGAAAACCATATCTTGGAAGCATGAAACGATAAACCACTTCTAACTGTTGCCAAGAAACTACACAGATATTGAGATGAAGTCACCAGCAGCTGAGCTGACTCAAGGGAGACTTTATTTTTGGCACTAACAGCATCCTTATCCGTAAACACGTGATGAGAAGAATTTCATACTCGTGAGCCTAGCCATGTTGATAAACACACAGTATGTTCACAGATTCTATCATTCCTAGGCAAGATACATTTGGGTCATTCCTAACATCCTTTGCATCTCCTGCTTATCATCAACTGCTACAGGTGCTTCAGAATATTTTGGAAACGGAGCGAGAGTACGCCAAGGAACTGCAGTCACTTCTAGGAACGTACTTGAAGTCTCTCCAGTCTTATGACAAGTAAGTAAGATTATTTGAGATGATCTCCATTAATGTGGAGGAGGACAGATGCAACTTCCAAATCCTAGAACTAAGGAGAAACTTCCTGACAGTTAGAACAATTAATCCGTGGAACAACCTGCCTCCAGAAGCTGTGAATGCTCCAACACCGGAAGTTTTTAAGAAGAGACTGGACTGCCATTTATCTGAAATAAATGGCTGTCCATCTTGGCTGTCCATCTAGTCCATCTTGGACTAGATGGAATGAAGACCATTTTCAACCTTCAACGTGCCTCTGGAGCCAAAATTTTCTTTCTCCATTGAGGATTCTAATAGAATAGTAGAATTGGAAAGGACCTTAGAGGTCTTCTAGTCCAATCCCCTGCACAAGCAGGAGATCCTATAATATTTCAGACAAATGGCTGTCCAATCTCATCTTAAAATCTTCCAGTGATGGAGCACTCACAATTTCTGGAGGCAAGTAGTTCCACTGGTTAATCATTTTTCACTGTCTGGAAATTTCTCCTTAGCTCCAGGTTGCTTCTCTCCTTTATTAGTTTCCATCTGTTGCTTCTTGTCCTGCCCTAAGGTGCTTTTGGAGAATAGCTTGATCCCCCCCCCTCTTCTTTGTGTCAGCCCCTGAGATATTAGATATATTATCTTTTCATGATATGCGTATTTCTAGGCTGAGCGCTATTGATATAGCATCTTTGCTTGGAAACGTGGAAGAGATCTGCAACTTTCAACAGACACTCAGCCTAGCCCTGGAAGAATGTGCTAAGTAAGTCCTGAATGTTTTCTCCATGGAAAATCTTCTTATTTAAAATCTTCTCCTGGGGGGGGGGAGGCGAGGGGGGAAGTCTAGCACAAGGAGGCTCCAGGTAGGCTGTGAGACCCTTAAGTTACTTCATTGATTTTCTCCACACTCTGTTTTGGACAAAACATTTTGTGTTTTATGGTGCTGTTGCTGTTGTAAGCCGTACAGGTAGTCCTCAATTTATGACCACAACTGAGTTCAACATTTCTGTTGCTAAGCAAGACATCAAGTGAGTTTTGCCCTGTTTTACGACCTTTCTTGCTAGTTGTTAAATGAATCACTGCAGTGGCTTGGCGGAAGGTCGCAAAAGGGGGGAAACACGCTGCAACCGCCACAAATATGAGTCGGTTGCCAAGCCTATGAATTTTGATCATATGAGCCTGGAGATGCTGCAACGGGTATAAGTCACTTTTTTCAGTGCGGTCGTTAAATGAATTGTTGTAAATTGAGCTCTGCCTGCATAGATTGGGACAGACTATTCATCTCTATGCATAAATGTCCCTTCTCCACCTTGGAGCAGCCCAGGAAAGTTATTTTCCCTCGGTCCCTGTTCCTCCTGGCTGAGACAGAGCTAACGTTTTAAATGCCAACCAACCGCTTCGTTTATTCCGTCTTCCTCCTGCGTGTATCTCCTACAGGCTTCCCGAACACCAACAGAAAGTGGGAGGCTGTTTTCTGAGCCTGGTGCCCCAGTTTGCGTCCCTGTACCTCACTTACTGCACTAACCACCCATCTGCGGTCAACGTCTTGACCCAACACAGGTAAAACTAAGGACGCACCAGACCCTGCCCAGTGGGTTGGTCTGCTTCTCTGTCCTCACGGGTGCTTCTCTTCCAGCGATGAACTGGAGAAGTTCATGGAGAGCCAAGGGATGGCCTGCTCTGGGATACTGACCTTGACCACGAGCCTCAGCAAACCGTTCACCCGGCTGGACAAATACATTTCCCTTCTGCAGGAACTTGAGAGGCACATGGAGGTAAGCTTTTAGGAAAGACTACTCATCCCTATTGGTTGGTTCCACCATTATTCAATGACCGATTCTTCTTCTTAGGGCTGTTTTTGGCTTTTTCCCCATGATTCTGTGTGGTCATCAAGGGTCTTCCTGGGTCTACATCCTAGTAGGTGAGCTCCTGGAAGGAGCCTCTTTCTCTAGACCACTCTTGGACCCCTTGCAAATTGATGGTTTGCCCAACCCTTGTGATGGTCCAAAGGGAGCAAGAAGCAAGCTACAAGGGTGGAGCTAATCCAGACCTTTTCCCCCCTGAAAGAAAGAGCAAAATGTCTTTCCTTCAGTTCACGCTATCCAAACGAGCAGGTGAACCATCCTTGACCACAATAGGCACAGTTCCAGGAGAGCATCTTGTTCCGCATCTGAAGGAAGTTCTTCCTTCTCATCGTTTCCTAAAACCGATGACCCAGTTTGTATCTCTGTACGTCATTTATTTCTCTAAGACCCTTCTAACCATCGTTCCCTCCGGTTCTGGTATTTTGGGAAGGGGAAAACAGCTTCTCTTTGTCTAATTTATCCACTTTTCCCCCTAGGAGGCACACCCTGATCACGAAGACATTTTGAAAGCCATAGCGTCCTTCAAGTCTCTTGTGGTAGGTCTCCGAGCAGCAGTTAAACAGCCCTCAAGGGGGCGCTGTTGTCCCAAGCAAGGTTTCAAATGTGATTTTTTTTTTTTTGTTTGTTGAGAAAGTGATTTTATTTTATTGCCTCTGTTGTTTTTTGTTCTTATAAGACAGAAGGTACAATAATCAACTTTTTTTTCCTCCTCAGAAAAGGAGCAACGTTTTTGGGTGGGAGAGGAAGAACTGAGGCCGGGAAGGAGGGAAGAAAAAATATTTGTTAAAGCAGGATAAACAAAATAATAATTGAAATGGAAGCACAGGGGAAGCCACAGCTCTTATCCGATGCTTTCCCTGATAATCAGAACTCATGAAAATTATAGCATAGATTTGAAATAAGATTCGAATCCTTGACCGCAATTGGAACCGGAATCTCCGTGGCTAAGCAAGGCAGCTGTTAAGTGAATCAGGTCCAATTTAACGACCTTTGGCCACCGTTGTTAAGCAGATCACAGGGTTATTCAACGAATCCGGCTTCTTCCATTGACTTTGCTTGTTGGAAGCTGGCTGGGAAAGTTGCAAATGGCAGGGATTCAACCTCTGGACACTAACTGTCACAAACATACGCCAGTTGCCAAGCATCCAAATTTTGATCAGGTGACTATGGGGATTCTGTGATGGTCATACATGCGAGGACCGGTTGTAAGATATGTATTTAGGCATGTATTCATGGTCTTGTACGCCATGATACAGCAGCCCTTTCCCCAATACACAAAACCACTTGGCCTTGGTCTGCCTCTCTCCCTTTCTACGATCCGCCTTGTAATCCAAGCTTCGTTGACAGTCCCAGTGCCAAGAGATGAGAAAGAGGAAGCAACTTGAACTACAGATCCTTTCAGAAACCATCCAAGGTTGGGAAGGAGAAGACATCCGATCCATGGGCAGCGTCCTTTATATGTCCCAAGTCATGGTCCAACCTGGAGGGAATGAGGTGAGATGGGTGGCGATGGTGGTGAGCAGGGCAAACCGTGAGGACCAGATGCTCTTTTCATTGTATTCCATTGTCCTCTTCTTGGTTCAGCCCACGTGGGGCCTACAGAAGCTCTATCTGAAAAGGTTTCCACTCACGGTTGTCACACACTGTGATGTAATGAGCATCAGACAATAGGGGGAACTGGAGGGAACTGTGCTCTCCACAATTCTTCATGCATCGTGCTTTTCTTCCTTTATCCCAGGAGAAAGAAGAACGGTATCTCATGCTTTTTCCAAGTGTTCTGCTGATGCTCTCAGCCAGTCCTTGCATGAGTGGATTCATGTACAAGGTGAGTGGGGTGCATGTATAATTGCAAGAATTAAGTGTTTTTTTTTCAAAGTAAAGCCCCCCGCTGTCTCCCCCCCCCAAATAAGAGATGTTTCTGCCCCAGTCATGAAAATATCCCATCTGAAATTTCTAGTTTTGGGTATGGTGCAGGTTTAAGCTAAAAATCACGATACATTTTTTTTTAATCGGCCGAGCAGTCTGTCAATTTCACATTGCAAGAATAGTGCTCAAGATTGCTCAGAATAATTTTCATCTCATGATTTTTTTTCCCCTCCTGGGGGAGCAGGGGAGGCTCCCCTTAATAGGAATGATGGTGACCAAATTAGAAGATCTGGAAGGAAGTGATCACGTTTTTGAAATCTCAGGTCGGTGTTCTTTCAGCAACTTAGATGAACTTTATCAGTTAATCCCGTGTTGGGTACAAACCAGTACCGTACTTATCAAACTTAAGATTAGAAACTGATGAGTGTCCAAGAGAATCTATTCATAATCAATCACGTTATTTATACTTAATAAATGTGATTAGTCCCCTATAAAATTTCATTCGGCCATCTTTAGAGTGCTGAGATTGATTGATTGAGCTTTTTGATGAAGGACAAAAAGCTAAAGGGGACACAGCTGTGCCAGGCCAGTCAGCCTTAGCAACTCTAACATGTCTGGACTTCAATTCCCAGAATTCCCCAGACAGCCATGCTGGCAGGGGAATTCTGGGAGTTGAAGTCCACACGTCTTTGAGTTGCCAAGATTGAGAAACCCTGATTTATAAAGTCATGGCTGATGAGGATTGTGTTCTGATCAAAGTCCCTTCTAGTCCAGAGTTCTTCCTTTCCAAGTGGCAATTGGATACCTTGGAGAAGATCACAAGCAGGATGTGAAGATAACATTAGTCCACCTTTGTTGCTTCACAGAAACTGAGACTCAGCAGCGAACTACTTCCACACTTGGAGGTGGCATCTAACCACCTTGAGACCCTGCTAGCTTTATCCTCCCGGATTTATCTAATAACATCTTCCTAACCTGGTCCCTGTTCAGTGACCCACAGCTATAATTTTGAGAATTTGTATGGGCCCCAAGGGCTGGCAATTCGGGGGAATAAAATCTAAACCATCTGGAACATTCGAAGATTGGTGAAAGGCAGGCTCATCCCAGGAAGCCACCTATAAAAAGTTTCATTTTTCATTCATTCTTTCTGTCACACGCTCTGAACCATTCTTCAGTCGAGTAATCTGGTTTGTCTTCCATCTCGCAGGAAGCATGGGAGACCGGCTCACGGTACACTGCAGTAGCAGCCACGATTTCCACGAATGGCTTGACCACCTGCAGAGGTTGACCAGAGGAACCACTTTCAGTGGTACCCTCTCGAAAACCCAATCTTGGGGTTCCCATTCTGTAAGTAACTCCCCAACTAACTCAAGCTGAGATACCAAGCAAATGTGGAAAGCTCTTCCTTTGCAGGCCATGCCCACGGACCCCAAATCCACCTTGACCCTGATCTTAGGGGACAATACGAGAAAAAAAATTGTCCTGCTTCCTTTCTTTCAAGGAGGCCCCACCATCTCTGTAGGATTAGGGCCACACAATTCACTTTTTTCCAGCTGGAACACTCCAAGGTCCTCCTGCTCCCATTTCAAACCATCTTTTTTGGGGGAGGAATAGAATGTTTGCATTGCCCAAAATTGGTCATTTTGTGGTGGTTTGATCCAAAGTTGCTAGGAAGCCACCAACGGGGTTCCACATGGCTGCCTGAAAAATCCATGGGCCAAATGTTCTTCACCTGTTATAAGAGTTGATTTAATTGTCACCTAGAGGAGCTCTGAGGTGATCAGACAGGTTGAAAGCAAGGAATTCAGTGAACTGCTGTTGTTGGTTTTTTTTCCTCAGACTTTTAGCTCTACTGGACAATTCCGTGGCCCACTGGAACCACCCCAGATCCTCAAACCCTGGACCTTGAGTTGCCTCCGCCCAGCACCTCCTCTCAGGCCATCGGTGGCCCTCAGCTATAAAGAGGTAATGTCCTGTGGCCTTTGCATGAGTGTGTCTCTTTGCTTATGGCAATGTGAAGTCGTGGTCCTTAACTCTGTGACAACACATTCCAGGTTGAGCAGCAGGATGTCACATGGGTAGAAACACAGCTACGGAGAGCCACAAGTTCCCACACAGTTGGGTGGAATGTAGGAAGCTGGCCTTAGCTTGCAAGTTTTGGTGCTCCCTGCCAGAAGGAAACCTCGTTCACCCCATCGTTGCGGTCCTTCTCTCAGCTGCCATACTCGTCCCCGTTTAGAAATAAATTTTGCAGATTGGTTGGCCAATTAATTGTCAATCTTGTTCTGTTTAATTGATAGACATAAAGAATTAATTCTCGGCTTGTTTGCTCAATGACTTTGGAGATTTTATTTCCTCCTGCTTTATTTTCTGGAGAGAAAGGGGTTAGAAGTTAAATAAAGATTCATTTCCATTCCAGAGTCGTATTTTTAGGGGAGGAAGATTTTCAGACACACTGCAAATTCCCCATCCCATCCAAGCTTCCTATTCAGTCCCTCAAGAGCTGCAATTTTGCTCATTTGAACCTCCAGTTTCAAATCTTTCATCGGCACCTTTTGACTTGGTTTTATTTTTATTTTTTAAAATCTCACAGAACCTGGGATCCCTATCAGTAAAACCGCTTTTAAAATTGGTGCTTCAGATTCATTATGGAGCCAGCACATTCTTCTCTTCCATTCAATTGTCATAAATCCATGCATTGTCAAAACACAACACTATGCAAATTTGGGCCCACAGGAAACGGGGGTGAGAAGTTATTTGCATCGGTGAGGAAACTTGTATCGCACACCCAGAACTCCGTAATTTTAGACAAAATCACCTTCCCTCACCCATTTTTTTGCTTTTGTGACTCATTTTCTGCACAAATCAAACCAAGATGAGATTTACTTCACTTGTATCACAGGTTTGGTACCTTCTTTCACCTGCTGCTTATCACAGGAGGGGGAAATACCTTTATTCCACCACCCCACTGACAATTCTCGCACTCCACTCAATTATTTTAGTTCTGGTCCTCCATGGATTTCTGGAGATGATCTTCTCAAGAAGGTCTGCTCTGAAGGAAGTCAGTGTGAAGACTTGGAACTCATAGAGATCAACCTCTGAAAGCCACTTAAGTGTTAGGTTAGGCAGGATTGTTGTAAGAGATGAGAACTTCCCAGAAGGATCCTGATAGTGCAGTTACAAATCTGATTTGGGGGGGGGGGTCCCACTGCTCCCCACAAAAATCCATGTGGGTAAGGCAGATTCTGATTATTAATGTGACAAAACTTGGATTAGTTACCTAACCTTTCGAGAAAAGGTAAGGCCTCACTTAACAGCTGTCTCAGCAACATATGTTTTGGGCTCAGTCGTGCTCGTAAGCTGAAGACTACCTGTATAGCCAGAAGGTTCCTCTTTGGGTTCAAAAACAAGAGGAGAACGAAGCCTAAATATCCTGTGATTTACTTCATTAGGAATGTCATAGTTTTAAAGTGTGCCTTTGATGGCCCCGCTCGTCTTTTCATGCTCACCTTTTTTTTCTTTCATGCTCCTTCCCAGCGGATGTCCTACATCTTAAAGGTAAGGTCAGAAACCTCTCTGCACCATGTTCCTTGCAACACATCGATGTGTTTTAATGAACAAGCAGGGTTTTCCCCCAGCGACAAGATTTGGGTTTGAAGTCATATTTTCCCAAAACTCATCTCAGTGCTGTTTGTTTGCACAGTCTGGCTACACGAACGTTTACTCGGTCGTGCAACAGAGAAATGCTTTAGCGGTCTCTGACTCAGGGTTTATTATCTGGGCAACCGATTGCGCTTGCACAGCACCACTCCTGGTGGTGGCTTATGGGTGGCGTTCTGTAAAGGAATTTAGAGAGGACTTAGAAAAGGTGGGAGTGAGCCGTCAGAGGGGGAGAATTTGGCACAAGGAGAGACTTGGACAAGAGATTACAAAGTTCAGAAGTGGAAGGAAGTTTGAGAAAGGAACTCAAAATAAGCCCCCTTGATTGATTTATTTTTTATACCCTAAGATGGGGCTTTCAAGATTGCTGAAGTTCCACCTTACTATAATAAAGAGTGTTCCTAGAATTCCTACAGTGTCTCTTTCTTGACCTGATCTTTGAAGTCTGTCCCAGTTTCTCTCTGTCCTGTTTTATACTACACAACATCAAGGCAGGATTACTTTGAGTTTCTTTCTCACATGTCTTTCTATCTCAGGACTGCATACAGTAAGCTCATCTAAATCCCTCCTCAGTGGCTGACTGATAAGTTCAGCTCTAAATCCTTTCACAAATAGTTACTTGCTAGACCTTCCATGCTAGAGTTCAAGGCATACCATTTATGGGATGATCAATCACCCACCACCTTACCTGGAAAAGATGCAACGTCTCTCTTATTGGTAGTTGGGCCAATGGCTCAGAAGAAGGACGTTGAGAGTTGTGGGCTAACACAATTCATGGCTACCAGATTAGCCCAATCTGCCTTGTGTCATGTGCCCAAACATGTCACCTATCAATACAATTGTTCAGCCCTTGGGTACTTACTCTGCAAACTCACAAATCTTTGAGTTCAGTTCTTGGTTAATTAACTGAAGCTTAGATGCATCATGAGTGGAGATTCCTTCAGCTAGGACATAATCCTAATCGATGGTTCTGTCTCTACAGGATGCCAGCAAGAGTCCAAAGACGATGAAAAAGTTCCTGCCCAAAAGGAAAACAGAGAGAAAGCCATCGGACGAGGAGTTTGTCATTAGAAAAAGTAGGTTGGCTTTGTGGTCCCTTTCGGTAATTGATTGTCTTAATGATGCTGTAAGGTAGAACACTCTGATGTTTATCCATGACATCCATGGTTAAAAATGACAGTCTCCTTCTATAGTATTTTATGACGTGCGTCTCTGCTAAAGGAGGAGAAACAAGCTTGTCTCCCAGGAAAAGCATCCCTGAAGGATTTAGTTTAATTACAAAATCAGGAGAATTAATATTTCCAGTCTATCTTCTATTAGTTCCGCCCCACCTCAAGTCCTGGATCCAGTTTAAGGTTATACAAATTGCAATGGGGGAGGTCCATGTAAGGGCAAGGAGAAAGACCAGGAGGTGCTCTGCAAGGAGATGTTGAGGGACCTTGTTAGCTGAAGAGAAGTTGACTTCAGGGAGATACAATAGCCTCTTCAAGGGTCCTGCAGGCAAGACACAGAAGTTACAAATGCAAATCTGAGTCTTGCATCCAAACTAGTTAAGCAACCAGACAGCAGGACCAAGAGAACCCAAAGGGATTATGGATTCTCTTCCATTTGGATGCATTCAGTCAGCAGCTGGACCACCATCTGTGAAGGATCCTGCATCAAGCAGGGATGCTGTGGATGGCCTTTAATGGGTCTAACAAAAGTCACCAGAAGGACACACACAGGATAGCCTTAAAACGATAAGTAAATAAAGAAAGCGAGGAGTGAAAATGTGACTTTGTGACTCATCAGTTTATTATCTTAGAAGCTTTTGTGGACCTTCATCAAAGGTCTTGCCTGCACTCTTGCAAAAGGAATGTGAAGGAGACCCCAGATCTATTGTGGGGAAAGGACAGAGGACACTAGATAACAATGAGACCCAGTGAAGAGTATCAATAGACAATGACCACTCCCTAGTCAATAGTTAATTAGTGGCCGATTGCCTCGCACATAAATCTGTTCAGCTTGAAGGACTCAAGACTCAAATACAGGCTAACAAGGGTGCCTCACTGGACACAAGACGAAGGAGGTAGTTCTTCTTCTAGCAAAATTGAGGATGTAGAGCAGGGGTCTTCAAACTGGGCAACTTCAAGACTTGTGGGCTTCAACTCCATGCTGGCTGAGGGATTCTGGGAGTTGAAGTCCACAAATCTTACAGTTGCCCAGTTTGGAGACCCCCTGCTCTGGAGTAAATCCAGAGCCTGTCCTTACATTCATTTGCTTTTCAGGCACAGCAGCCTTAGAGGAGGACGCTCAGATCCTGAAGGTGATTGAGGCGTATTGTGCAGGGGCGAGTTTGCAGCAGAGCATCACTTCAGGTCAGTGGATTGAAGCCAAACCAGGTGGCTCCCAGGGGTTCAAGATATGGCTGATGCCTTGGGCCAGGTCAAGCAGAGGACCCCTCCCTGGTGCCTGAAACCAGAGGAAGCTCTGATTTCTTTCACCACTTTTTCAGAGCTGTGCTGGCTGGGGAATTCTGGGAATTGAAGTCCACCCATCTTAAAGTTGCTAAGGTGGAGAAACACGGATTTAGACTCTTCCAACCTTTCTCTCGGGCCAAGGGAGGCAGGAGCAGAAAAACTCATTTCCCCTCTGTTCATTCTCTCTCACCAATGAAGGAGAATATTTGTAACTCGGGGTTGAAATGGCGAGAAAAGTCGTAACCTGGGGCGAAACTCCCTTAACCAGTGCCTCACTTAGCAGCATAAATCTTGGGCCCGATTGCGGTCGTAAGTCGAGGACTGCCTCTGTTGCGGCAACTGCTTTCTCCTCTCGAAAAGGAACAGAACAATCCGCCTGGCGCGGATGAGTCAAACCCCGAGCCTTTGAAATAAAGCTGACTTTTGAAACAGAGAGATGAAGGGAAAGGAAATCAAGATCAAACTGCAAGGCGACGCTTTTGACCCCGGTTCCTTCTGCCGTCCCAACCCACTGAGATGCTAATCTCCCAAGACACCCGTCACTCGGGGTGCTTTTATCGTCCGATCTGCTGCGCGCCTCAGAAAAAAAAACCCAGCTGCCTGGCACTTTTTGATTTTATTTTAATTTTTTTCGCTTCTTCCGAAGCCACGAGTGGAAACACAAGTCCCTTATCAGCGGGACTGGGGTGGCAGCGATAAATCAGTGCGCCTGGGAGGGGAGGCAGGAGGTGGCGGGGGGGGTTTAGCTGTTTCGTTGTCTTGGGCTTAGCTCAGCCTGGGGGAGTTGCAGGTTATCTGTGACATTTTATTCCATTTGCTTATTTATATCTCCCCCCTGTTATTATTTTTACAATAACTCAAGGCGGGGAACATATCCCACATACGTCCTTCCTCCTATTTACTCCACAACAACAACCCTCTGAGGTGGGTTGGGCTTAGGCCAGCTGACTTTCATGGCTAAGGCAGGACTAGAACTCACCGTCTCCTGGGGATTGGCCCAAAGTCACTCAACAGTCTTTAGTGCCGAAGGTGGGACTAGAACTCCCAAAGTCATCCAGCTGACTTTCATGCTAAGGCAGGATTAGAACTCATCTCTCCCGGTGGTTGGCCGGGGGTCAGTCAGCCCTCTATGATGCCAAAAATGGAACTAGAATTCCCAAAGTCACCCGACTGGCTTTCGTGCTAAGGCAGGAAGAGAACTCACCGTCTCATGGTGATTGGCCCCAAATCACCCAACCATCTTTTCTGCCTAAGGCGGGACTAGAACTCTCTGTCTCCTGGTGATTGGCCCACAGTCACCCAGCCAGCTTTCATGCCTAAGGTGAGACTAGAACTCACCATCTCCCAATCTCTACCCTGGTGCCTTCACCACTAGCCCAAGCTGGCATCAGCCTCCTGGGGGCAAAATTGCGTCCCAGATTGAGCTGGACCAACGTCTCGGTTCTCGGCTCACCAAGAGAAGCCGTTGTTCCCTGAATTGTCCACTCTCGTCCTCAGGGTCCCGCAAAGATTCAGTTCCCCAGGTTCTACTTCCAGAAGAGGAGAAACTAATCACTGAGGAAGTGCGGAGCAACGGGCAGACCGTGGCAGAGGAGAAGTGAGTGGCGCCAGGGGCCGGTGGGGGTCCGAGCCTACTTTGAAAAAGCCACAGCCAAACCTCGCGGGGGAAGTTCTCCTCCCATCTCCATGCAGCCTGGAGATTCCTTGGAGGACTTCCGTTCCTCCCATTGAGTCTTCTGCTGAGGACCAAAGCGTTGGACAGCAAGGTTGTGCTTCTTGGGAAGTCTTCTAGGGCAGAGGTGACCCACCTCAACATCTGTCCTGAAGGGGGGCCAGAGACACAATGGGATCCCATGTAGGCAAGATGGCGTCACCCTTGTAGGTGCCAATGGGTTGTCCTCCACCCTCCACCTCCAGTTTTGTTCTCTTTGTTGGGGGAAGGGTGCATGTTGACCCGGTCCTTACAGTAGCAAGAAAGGTCGTAAAATGAGGGAAAGCTCCTTTAACAAATGTCTCACTTAGCGACAGAAACTTTGGGCTCAGTTGTGGTCACGAGTTGAGGAGTCCCCGTAGTTTAACAGGAAAGCTGAGAACCATGAAATGAAGCACAAACCTAAAATGAAAATCTTTTTCAAATGTTAAAAGACTCGATGGGCTCGCAGGGCAAAGTTCTAACAACGAAAAGGGGGAAAGGAAATCTTTCGTGTCTCATGCTGATGGATTTTATTTTATTTTATTATTTTGTTTTATTTTTATTTGCCTTTTTCTGCTGTTTCCTAGGAGCCTTGTAGATACCGTCTATGCGCTGAAAGATGAAGTCAAAGAATTGAAGCAGGTAACCCAAAATAACTGCACCGGGCTGGGCAGCCTTTATAAACGGTTTTGCAAAAAAATAAAACAAAAACCCAGGTTGCAGTTAGGGGGGGGCCCTCCATAATCAAGTCTACTGACTTCCCAGTGGGTTGTTTTTTTAAAAAAAAATATTGTTTAGGTTTCTAGTCCTCATGGCAGCAGTGACCCGGGGTGTGTGTGTGTGATTTCAATTGCAGTCATAAGTGGAGGACTGCCTGCACCGCAAATACAGTTTATGGAAGGAAAATCGGAGAGCGTTTTAATAACAGGTGAAGACGGCTCCCCTTTTTCTCTCCCCTGCTGCAGGAGAATAAACGAATGAAGCAATGTCTGGAAGAAGAACTGAAATCCAGGAAAGATTTGGAAAAATTGGTCCGGAGGTTATTGAAACAAACCGACGAAAGTCTCCGGGAAGAAACGGGCCGCCGTTCCTCGGTGCTGGCCTGATCCCTCAGCCCCACTCGGGAAAGTTTGCAGCCACACACGTGTCTCTCTCGCTCTCTCGCTCTTTGGATGGGGATCACGCACGCCTGTTTCGCTTCTTCCCTTCGCTTCTTCTTGCGGAAAAGACAAAAAAAGAAAAAAAAAGCGCCCAGCTGCAGCTCCAGCTGTTTTTTCCTCGTCCCAAAAGCCCATTTTGCATGCTGTTCATGGGCGGTGAAGATTCGCTCCAAAACGGTCATTCCCAAAAGCCACAAAAACTTGTCCAGGACTTCTGAGATTGCATCTTGTCCTAAAGAACACACTCCTGGCGAGGGATGGGTCACCACTCAGAGTGAAGGTTGCTGAGTGCAAAATGTTTAGAGGAAATGCAGGAGGAAAAAAAACAACCAAGACGCCCGTGGCTCCTTCCGTTTTCTTTTCGGTTTTAAAGCCTGCTTCTTAATTTATTGAGTGGGAGGGGAAAGCAAACTTGGTTTCTTGAACGGCAACCAAGTTAAAAACCAAACGATGATTTGCACTTCTTTTTTTCAGGAAATCAGGAAAGTGAGAGCGAGAATTCCCGCCCTCTCCTTGAGACTGTGAGAATTCCCCATGTGTGGCCTTTCCGTAGAGGATATTATGCATGCAAAGGATCTCAGACTGGAGGAATTTGAGTCCTCTGGAGTCACAACTCGGATCCTTCAACGCTCTCTTCAGACAAAGAGACAGCAGCCATGTACAGTCACCTCTTCCCTTTGGTAGAGGGTCTCCTGCTTGAACAGGGGGTTGGACTAGATGACCCCCCAAGGTCCCTTCCAGCTCAGTTATTCTGGTTTTATGTTTAACCAAGGTAGCCTGATTATAGGGCATCCTCGACTTATAACAGTTCATTTAGTGACCGCTCAAAGTTACAACGGCCCTGGAAAAAGTGACCTACGACCATTTTTCACACTTACAACCTATTGCCGCACCTCCAGGGTCACGGGGTCAACATTCAGATGCTTGGCAACTGACTCACATTTATGACGGTCGCAGCGTCCCGAGGGTCACGTGATCCCCTTTTGCGACCTTCCGACGAGCAAAGTCAATGGATCAGCCAGATTCACTTAACAACCACGTCACTAATTTAACAACGGCAGCGGTTCACTTAACAAATGTCTCGCTTAACGACAGAAATTTGGGGCTCGTGGTCGTAAGTCGAGGACTATCTGTCTTGGAAAAAAACCAGAGGAACGTAGTAGCCACTTGTAGGACTGGGAGGTCCTGTTTTCTCTGCTAGGTTTGCCGCTAAAATGAAGTCCACTGGATGAATGCTAACGCCGGCTTCACTTTCCGTCCTGGCCCCCCTGGAAGGCCTTCTTTTTTTTAAAAAAAAAAAAGGACAGGTTTTCGAGTTCAGTTGTCATCTTATGAAGGAACTTCTTGAAAGGCTTCAAACCATCCAGACCAGGGATGTCCAACCTTGATAACCTTAAGATCTGTGGAACCTCAACTCCCAACTGTGCTGACTGGGGAATTCTGGGAGTTGAAGTCCACAGGTCTTAAAGTTGCCGAAGTTGGACCTCCCCTCCCTTTTCTAGACCATTTGGAAGAGCGATGGGGTTGAAGGCCGTCTTGATGGCGTGGCAAACATTAGCCACACAGCACTGAGCATCGCCAGCTTCCGGGAACAGACCTGGAGGCCCCTCTCCTCAAGACTTCCTAAATTCAGCAGTGGGGAGGAAGAACGTCTGTCTGAACTGAATGCTGAGAAGGTTGTCTGGGGCCTCCTGCATGATCCTTGGTGTCTTCACTTATTTCTGTGCTTCCTTACTATTTACCAGCCAGGTGCTTCCAAAAACTTGGATTCATATGTTGTCCTAAGCAATTCCAAAACTGTGGTCTGGAGCATGTCGGGGTGGGTTGAAATAAATATCCACAAATCCACCTCTCTTCAACGTTGAGGTGGCCCCCAGGAAAGGGCAGCTCCAACGTGGTCAGGAGGAAGAACGTTACGCTGATCTGCTCTTGGCAGTCAAGGGAACCATCAGATCTCTCGGTACAAGATAGGAGACACCCCTAAGATGGAATGTAAGAAAGAGATCTTTCCCAGGAGGGAAAAAAAATCTTGATTTCCCCAGAATTGCTGATTTCTTCAGAAAACGATAACAACCTTTGGATTTCCTTGGAGAGCATAAATTCCATCTCTGCTTGGTCATGTTTCCTCCAGCCAAGGAAATTACTGTGTCCAGGCCTCCAAAATTTAGGAAAGGCTGGCCTGTTCTCTAAATCCAATCTTTGTTTTCACTATATGCACCAGATGTTAATATGTTTTGTGTGTGTTGTTGTTCTAAGGAAAATTAAGGCTGCAAGTTTTTCAGAGACGTCCACTGAAAGCTTTTCAAATGTATAGGATTGTGCTGTTAAAAACAAACAAACGGAAGAATATACAACTGTACTAAAGGAATAGAAGCCATTTGAACCTGATTGGATAATATACATACATACATACATATATATATATATAAATACATATAAATATATATTTACAGTTCTATGTAAATAGGTTTCTGTTAAGACTTTATCTTATTTGTTCCCTTCTTAGCTTTTCAGTTTCTCTCTTGTTGTGTTTTTATTTCCGGCCACAACAACTGATGCAATCAAACCCCCTTTTTCTAAAATATTTTTATTTTGAGCAATTTTTAAATTTTGGTTTTCAAGGAAATAAAAGAAGATTTTTAAAAGAAAAGAGGCTGTGCCTTTACAAGTGTACGTGTGATCTTTCATGATAGCAGGCCTGTCAGGTTATTTTATTCTAGTTTTGGTTAAAAACGAAAGGAGGTCATTGTAAAAGGCTCCGTTTAAAAAAACACACAAAAACGCCAGAAGTTTAAACAGATAATATCAGCAAAAGAAAATGTTTTATTTCAACCATCTTGGCAGGCGGTTTAAGAACAGGATGAGATGGAATTGTGTTGTCTTTTCATTGTGCGCATGGTTCATTTCCATCAACTCTGCTAAACCACCATATTTATAATTAATTATAGCTGGTTGCCTAAACCATAGTGGCTTGCTTAACACGTAAGGCTAAGGAGCAATCATCTTTGATCCTACACAACATCACTTTGAGCTGTGAAAGTTCAGTTTGGGAACCCTCTGACCTAAGATTTCATCATGTCGTGGCTATTTCAGCAAGAACTTCACCTTAGGGAACCTAGATTTTTTTCCCTTGAGTCCAACATATGAAAGACAGTTGCAGGAACTGAGTATATCTAGTTTAATGAAGAGAAGGACCAGGGGTGACATGAAAGCAGCATTCCAGTATCTCAGGGGATGCCACAAAGAAGAGGGGGTCAAGCTATTCTCCAAAGGACCAGAAGGCAGGACAAGAAGCAACGGATGGAAATGAACCAAAGAGAGAAGCAGCCTAGATTTTTCCTGAAAGTGAGAACAATTATTCAGTGGAACGGCTTGCCTCCAGAAGTTGTGGGGGCTCCATCATTGGAAATTTTAAAGAAGAGACAGGACAGCCATTTGTCTGGAATGTATAGGGTCTCTTGCCTGAGCAAGGGGTTGTATTAGAAGACCCCCAAAGTCCCTCCCAACTCTGTTATTCTGTTAGCATGTTAGCCTTTTGTAAAATATTATATAACAATGAGAAGATTTATATGTTGTGCAAAGCTGGCCAGGTTGACTAAAAATGTTTGCAGTTGGAATCTCAGCACACCTGAAGAACATCCACTTGGGGAACATTGGCTGATCCCGAGGAGCAAGCAGTTCTTCCTAAGGGTCTTTCGTAGTCCTCTTTCGAGGTAACTGTGACCTGGTGGGGGACTCCAGGATGAAGCAGATGCTTCCCCATTGAGACAACAGTCCTTCAGTGAGTTCTACTAGCAAAGCACGCTTGGGATTGAGAGCCACACAGCTTTCTCCATCAGCAACAGTCCTGGAAACCACACGAGATGCCGTCTTGAAACTGGCAGCACGCTCAGCCTTCCAAGATGGAACCACTGCTCTCCTCTCTTCTAAGGGCTGCCTATATATGATAACCTTCAGATTGGAATAATTCTCCTTCTTAATAAATTAAATAAAATACATCTATAAAAGAAATAGAACCAAAGAGTTCATAAATATGGTTGGAGGGCAGGAGAAGTGACGTTGGGCCACAGAACGAAGAGCCTTTTCTAGGAGAGCTGAATAAGGCCAAAGTAGGTGTTCCCGTGGGCATAATTTACTCGGGAGATGTCCGTTACGTTCACAAAGACCGTGTGGCCTGACTGGAGTTCCACGGCCCGGCCCACGTAGATGGACTGCAAGCCACACATGTCCACTGAGCTGCTGTAAGTTCCCACACCCTTCAGGAGCAGTTGATCTGTCTCCAACGGCAGGTTGAGATAGACAAGGACATTGAACGGGGCACGCAGATCTGGCTTGCTGCAAAAGGTGACTTGGGCGTAAATGTAATACCGCCCTTCTTTGCTAATTGTGATTTTTCCATCCGAGTTGGAAAACGCCTCATCCTTTGGGGCATAGATCGTACTCTTCCAGTGTAGAACTGTATGGAAGAAGAGGATAGATGTCATTTACTCCACGTCAGCTCAATAAGGTAGACCAGATTAAGAAACCCAGGCCCTAGAAGTCAGGACCACTTTTATTGGGTAAGCGACAGCTACATGCTGGCTTGGGAATTCTGGGAGTTGAAGTCCACACAACGTAAAGTTGTCAAGTTTGAAAAGCTCCTCAGCTATTGTAATAGGATTTTGCAAGTGTGAATGCACTTTCTCCCTCTTTCATTTGTGAGAGAGGGAGAGTCTTGTCTGAGCTGTCTTCCCAAGTTACTTTCTTGGCCTGGGCTCAATCCCCTCTTATCTGTCTCTTCCCTTGATAGCAACTCTTCCTCCAATTCCAAATGCCCAGGGGGAAAAAATGCCAGTTCTCACCTTTGTTCTGGGTGCTCACACCTGCCAAGTGAATGCTTGCACCTCGCTTTGGGTTACCTGCAACAAAAAAAACAGCAGTCATTGAAAGCTTCTGCCTTTTGATTTGTTAGCCAGAGATGATATTATCCGACTTTTAATTCACAATTTATGAAAAAGCTTCTCCCTTTTAATAAAATTTGTGAGCCGGAAAAGGTTCTACCCATCTCTTAATTTTCAATTTATTGACTAGAGCAGGTTCCTTGCTCTGTTGAGCCTTCATTGACTGTAGGATGGTCTGGAAAGGAAAAAGGCTCTAGAAACACCAAAAACGGGGCTGAAAAATTCAGAAATATGGCACAGCACTGTCAAACTGAACTAATTCCCAAGTGTGGATTATGCAACTAGGGAGTTGCCAGCATTTCCAGAAATTTTCTCCATTGTTCTAGGACCAAGATGCCACCAATAATGTAGTAGTATTCATAACCAATTTTCGGGTGCTACCATTATTTTTTCATTGCATTTTTTTTAAAAAAATTTTTTTGGCAATGTGCCTTGAACTGAATGTGTATGTGAGAGGGGGCGGGGGGGGGGGAGAGAGAGAGAAAGAGAAAGAAAGAGAGAGAATGAGAGAGAGAGAAAAACTTTTTCAAAGTTGCAGAAACTTACCTGTTTGCATAGCTGGCACAATTTGCTCTGGAACCTACAAAAGAGAAAGAAATAGTTTTATTTATATGATTTATAGAACTGCCCATCTCACAGAAGCCACTCTGACTGAGAGGCAAGCATTAAAAACTCATGCGCTAAAAAAAATCCCACATTTAACTCTTGAGAAGTTTCTCCAGGTCATCCAATCTCCTCCAATACCAGAGAGGGGGGGGGGAACAATGCTCTTAGTTCCATAGGAAACAAAATTATAGCTTCCTCCGAAATAAAGAACCATTTGTTGACCTACAGCAGAGGAGGTGAGTTAATCCACCCTCTTTGCCTGCCTGGGGCCACGACTTTTCATGTTTTCTCTGCCACAGCTACTGTTGCTTAATCGATTATTCTTAAATGACGGACACTTTGGGTTTTGCATGATGAAACTGCTGGGACAGGAAAACCTGTATTTCTCACTGCAGTATCAGAATGAGTCCTCAAGTGTGAGTAAAATTAGGGTGTGAAGACGCAAATCCTACTTCCAGGAAGACAGCACAGCCTCTTTGTCACTTTCTTTGCCTCCAAAAGTGTTTGTTTGTTTGTTTCTCCACTCACCTCTTTTAGCATAAGCATCATCCTTTCCCCACCGCCCCGCTTCCTCCCCAGATCAGACCAGCTTTTTCCTAAACAGCACATTTCCAGATGGACTGAACACCAAGTCCCTCCTTTCCAATGGTTAATGGAGTAATAGAATAACAGAGTTGGAAGAGACCTTGGAGGTCTTCTAGTCCAACCCCCTGCTCAAGCAGGAGACCCTAGACCATTTCAGACAAAGGGTTGTCCAATCTCTTCACCTTCAAAACCTGGGAAGGACGAAAAGGACAGAGCAACATGGATATTCTTCCATGTAACTATTGTCTTAACGATTTATAGAGCTGGCCATCTCACTTTGGCTGGGATGCAAGGATTAAAAACTCATGCGCCAAATTTAAAAAAAAACCCACAACATTTATCTATTGAGAAGTTTCTCCAGGTCATCTAATCTACCCTGAACTTCACTTGAAATTGGTTTTACCCTCAGAAGGTAAAAAGAAAAGGGAAGGAACAGGGCATCCTAGGAAACATCCCAAGAATGCTCTTAGGTCAGACTCAGGCACAGACAAAATTCTATCACCTTTTGGGGAAAATCCATCAGTTCTCGGAAGGTTTCTGAAATCTTCACGCAATCTAGAAAGGAGACATCATCCCCCTGTGGTTTCCGACAATTCTGCACTCGTTTCAGGAACACGTAATCTTCATGTAACGTCAGGTCGTTGCCCATCTATCAGGGGAAACCGTCACATATTAGAATCGTGGTGGCAACGTTCATCGGCTCAACAAGTCAAGTCAGGGACTCCTGGATTTCACGTTAAAACACCAGGGACAAACATGTAGACAGAGTAGCTAGTTTCCTTTTTGCTCGCGGAGAATGTAACTGCGGTGCACTTTTTAACATTTCTGCTAAGTAAGTAAATAAATAAGTAAATAACGCTGCTAGTGAGAACTAGCTTACAAGAGGCACTAATGTAGAAGTCATGGGGGGGGTTAGGATCCACACTACAGCTGGCTACTGGATTAAGAACACCCCATCCCTCGAAATTTAAAAACAACAACAAAAGACACAAAGCATAGAAGACATTAAAAAGGTGCATTAAAAAAAGAAAGAACCCGACATACACGTACCCCATTACCCCCCCCCACCCCCTGGTTGAATACAGATTAATACATTGCTATAATATTAGTTCCCACCCCTTCCGAAAAAGCCCCCTCCCCAATTTTTTTTAAACTAGTATATCCAGTTGCAAACCGTTGACCTATCATCTCTATACAAGTAGTCCTCAACTTAACAAAGTGCTATTGTAAGCAACTCGTAGAAAATTTACCACGGCATCTTATTTTCATTTTTCATTTTATTATATTTATACCCCGCCCTTCTCCCGTAGGACTCAGGGCGGCTTACAGCCAGTTAAAAACAGTTTAATACAATACAATACAAAGTTTTAAAAAATCATTAAAAATAAATATTTAAATCGGCCGCTTCTACTAAAATTTGGCTAAAACCAATTTAAAATACCCCTAGGCCAGTCCTGCCCGC